TTTTCAGCACCTAGACGTCCCGTGCTGTTTTGTCAACAGCTCGACCCCACAAACGATGTGTTCGGGAAGGGTGCCTGCAATTAGGGGCACAGTACCAGGAGGATTCTAGATGGTGGGACAGTTTTGACTTGCAGGGAAGAATCTGTGAGATGCCACATCAGAGTGGCTGCTATCCAAGAATGCTTTGCTGTACTTGGCTTTCCACGCATTTTGAATGGCTTTTGACTGTGAAATTTACACTCCTTCAACCGGACACTAGCAAGTGACCCTTTTCCTGTCATGAAAACGTCTTCAGGTGCATGCAGTCTGTGCGTGACCACTTGGATTTCACATTCAGCAGATAACGTCCTCATTGTCATCAAGCATAGCAGCCACTTGGGGACTGCGAATACAAAGCTGCTGTCAATAGTTGCAGTAATGATTGTGTTCTAAGATGTTGTAAGTACTTCTGCGTGACTTGAGACAGCCATGGCATCTGCATGCATGACCCAACTTCTGGGAACTAGTAGAACCACTCAAAGTTTGACGGAAGGACCCCTAACACCTAAAGATACTGTTTGGTCCCCACAGTGCCTCACAAGTATCTGGTTTAGCTGAGCATCAAATGCTGTCAGTCTGACAATCTGTACGTCATGGAGCTGAAATGGCAGCTTATCGGCTTTCCAGTGGTGATGAGATTGTTTACCAGGGCATGTATGCATTACATGGCCGGGGAGGGAGTGCTTGGATGAATCCAAATCATGTCCGAGCAAAAAGTGCGAAAACAGGCTCAGCAACCGCGATCACTTCAGCTTGGAGATCCCAAGCGTGCAATTCCAGGGGAGCACAGCCTGCGTACGAACACGCCTGCTTTTTGTAGAAGGGGCGCAGACACACCGAAGCCAAACCGGTAATTGGCAATAAAAGCGGCAAAAGTACGTGGTGGTGAGACATGGCTGTGAAGCTTCCTCGCAAATTCGTTTCTATCCCCTCTGTGCAAGATGGAGCCCTGCTCCGCCATCACGCAGAGACCTAACTTAACGCAGGCGCTCAAGGCCTCGGCTGGACTTCGCGAAGTCCGGGATCGAGGCCGCAGCCCGCAGAGCAGCTGGCAGAGCTGCTGGGGAGCCTCCTTTCGACGTTTTCGCCATGCCAGGAAGCTCCAAGTTTCGCGCAGGACCTATCCGATTTGTGCGATCCATCCGCGACCCTCGCGGCCCTGTGGGCGATTCCAGCACTGGCAGCCCTGGCAGGCTGGAGGAGCTCGCAGTGTTTGTAGCGTGAAGCCGGTGGTGCGGGTAACCTGGAAGTTGGCAGCGCGAAGGTTGGCTAGGCTGTGGGTGGGCTGACTGCCAGCGGTAGGTAAGTACCTCCTGCAGCTGCACCAGACTCAGAGGGTCCAATTGGCGGTGGCACACAGAGGCAATGGCCTGCTCGCCGCTCATTGGCTCGCCCCATCCCACTTTCCAGCTCATTGCCGAGGAGTTGCTAAGGAATTTTCACAGGACACAACACAAAGCTGCGGGCATGATGAGAAACTCCAAACTCATGTTTATGATTGGCTTCACATCTGCGGCTTCTTGTGCCATGTGATTCAGTAGCTACGTGCTTCCCCCAATGCAAACCATCAAGCCCGAGCCTTGAGAAAAGAGCCCAGGGCAGAATCTGTTGTGCATGCGACGAAGCTCAATTTCAGATTTTGAAGGGTGCAGTGTCCTTCGCATGGCTTCCTGCCTCTGTGGTATCATCTTGATTGTTGCTTAAATCTTAAGGCCCCTTCTTACATGACAAACGACTGGTTGTCTTTGTCACAAAAATTTTCCAGTCTAACAGCACAGGCGGGCTCCAAATGGGATGAGCCGACAGTAGCTTCGATACAACTCTGGTGAACTTGCCAGCGGCCTCATGTAGAAAATGCAGGGGCCAGATTTCTATGCGATGACCATGGTATGCCTCAATTGAAAAAACGTCTGCATGCGAAGCCAAGCATCAAAATCTTGTGTTCCCGGTACCAAAAAATTAAGACTACAGGAGAGAAGCCCAGTTTCATCAGTCTGCCTTTCGACCGGAACTTTTTCAATCAATCTTCGCAGTGGTCCGGTTCACAGCGGCGGCCTCAGCTTCTTAAGTCTCTTCAATTGCCTATGCCTATGAAGAAAGCCTTGGGCGCGCAAACATTGCCAGAAGTAGCTGATCTACACGGACCGTATCTGAAGACAGAACCACCCTTCCCGGACATACACAGAGATCACGAGGGAAATGGTGAGCTTGGGTTCTTGAAATGATGCATTCTCTTTGGACCGCTTTCCAAAGAATCCAACTTCTTGCAGTATCGTACCCCCACATTGCAGGCAGCATGAGAAATTGCCGTACTATAGAACACCCCCTTCTCAGTTGCACAGATGCTGTATGTGTGAAATAGATGCATGCTTTGAGCACTTGCAGCACAGATGGCAATGGTAGACTCTTCTTGACACATAATGATCATAATGAGACATTGATCTTTACATCCAGGCACCTATTTCTTGATTTGTGTTTGCACGTTCGTCCTGGCTGAGGATGCGACGACACGCGATTCCAGGATCTCTGCCTTGTTTGCTGATTGGATGCTTGAAACATACTTGGAGATTCATAACGCGTACTATCCGGCTACATTTGGGGTGAGAAGCCTATCTATATACACGGGGAATCCATGTAAGGAGGATCAACCCCGAATTGGCTAGCCAGAGGATCTCATCCTTTGAACAGATAGTCTTCCGATTATGCCCTCGTCACGGCTGTAAGTTTCATGAGAGCAGGCTTTCTCAACGTTTGGCCTCTGCACATCAACCTGTACACAATACAGCCCTTGTTGAGGGCCCTCCTAAACAAGACTGTAGCCTGATGCACATGTTTATGGTCCCACCCGTGGGCAACTACTACCTCCGGGGCACGTGCCACTTGCAGTGAACCGAGAATCAAGATGCCACCGAAAGCCGCCTATTCAGGCGAGATGCAGTTATGGCAGCTTTTGTCGGCTCATCTAGGTCAACATTTGCTTTAAAAAGACAGGAGAACACTTGGCAACTCATTGGGTTTCTGTGTAACTGTGCGTTGTGGGGCTAAGAGATTTGAGGCTTCCAGCCTCAAGCAGCCAAAGCTCTAGACCATTAAGAAGCGTTCGGCCTGGGAATGAACATAGCACCTTCTGGTTCCGACCTTTTGATCTCCGTATCACGTCTGGCCTGTTTTGCTCGCACAGTAAGTTGAATCTGGTACCGCAGGACTTGCTCAAAAATGAGGAGCTCTGCAAAGCCCAAAATCATATGGTCCTTGTTTTTGTCCGGCAAGAGAGACCCGCCATTAGGACAAGCTCCCACCTGGAGTCTTGGTTGGAAGCTACTCGGCCAAAGTACACCCCTGAACCCTGAACCCTCAACTCAAACCTTGCCCTGCTAGACCCCCAACTGGCCTGAATGCCCGGCAGCCCTTCCTGGGGAGGCTTTGAGGAGCACTCAGTGGGACACTTGTGTCTTTCGGGGGGGGGGCCCTCGTGAAGGCTGTATTCCTTCGGAGGGGAAACCTTGTCGCACAGAGTTTGCTGGGATGGAGAGAGGGCAACCTAGACGAACCGACATCTTCAGATGTTGTTGCAGCTTTGCGACAATTTTCATAGGCTCCTTCCCAGACGTTTATCTTTGGTATTCAATGCTACCAGCTAAATATTTTGTTGATCGAAACCCCTCGCAGCGGTAGTTACCAGATACCGTGCACTATGACCACCCCAGTCCCTTGAGAAGTGCCACTGGAGTGTCTTCTCTTGGCCAAGGCACGCCTAGCAGGGCTGCAGCTACCAAACCAGACCTGACTCCACGGTCGCTTCAAAGGGAGAGTAACAGCCGCACTTACGGTCCAGATGTTCCTAACAGGCATCCTCTTTATTCGTTCGTGTTGGCTTTGGAACATGCTTCTCGTGAACCGCTTCCAAAGGAAGCCCTAGCGGAAATTGCCCTGCTGTGCAGCAAAGAGTCTGCAGATTGGTTAGGGCTGTTGTTGGCACGTTCGGATTGAAAATTCTAAGACATCTTCTGCAGTTCCCACTTGCGACATCTTCCTGCTGCACCGTACGCAGGCCCGCAGGCCATCTTGGATTGGAACTTTGTGCTGAGTGGCCTGCAAGGTTCCGAAGTGCATCGCCTGACAAAGTCTACAAACAGGACAGGACATGTAGTTCAACAGGACCACTGCGAGATCTTCGACTAGAAGTTTAGGAGCCACATGACATGACTGATGGTTGGACTTGGTGGCAGCACCCAAAATGGAATTAGCAGAGAAGTCCGAAGAGCTGCACTCCATCATTTCAAAACTAAAGTCGCTGGATCTTGGCAATGGGCACATTGCCCACGGTCTTCGGTACCAACAGAGCTTGGAAAAATTTTCTATCGGAGAGGCCACTGCTAGTCAGTCGGTGTATTGGCCTAGGTTGTAGGGGGGACGGAGACCAGGAGAACACGGGGACAAACAGCGTAACTGTCAAACCCTTTGTCTCACAGCCTGCGTGCCGGAGGCTGCGGGTAATACAGCAAGACCGCGTGCCAAAAAGACCTGTCGGCAGGGGGGAGATTGCTGTCCTTCACAGAAAAGGACGACAAAGCATACCAAGCTCTGGGAAGAACAACGAAACGTACCGGCTCTGGTGGGGGGGGGGAGCTGTGGGGGTCCGCTTGGCTCCTCCGGGGAGCTCTAGTTGGCCCTTCATAGAAAACGTACCAGCGCTGGTGAGGTGGCCTCTGGTGGGGAGCTGTGGGGTCCGTTTGGCTCCTTTGCAAAGCTCTGATTGCATCAGGACGCGTGGCTTGCACAATAAGAAAGACTTTTGCCATGAACCTAGACAATTCGAACACCAAATGTTGATTTGTACCTGAAAGGAAGTTAAAGAAGACAATGCAGTTCGGCTATTGGAGGTAGAAGGGCAGTCCCAAACTTGAAAGTGCCACTTCTTCCGTCAGGCGCGACACTGCTTCACTCTGCCAGTAAGATACACTGCCCAAGTGCTGAAAAAAAACATCCTGCGGTCGTTGCCACAGCACTTGCTCTTCGGATCCCTGCTATCTCCACTTAAATCACTTGAGGTGGCTCAGGCCCTCTACAAGCCGCCCCCAGGAGATGGCCTGACCCAACTGAGTGGAAACGCCAAGTGCTGCCAGCCAGGCCTTCTGAACAGTTGAACAGCTTGCACTGCTGGTGGTCTATTGGAACTGTCTAGGGGCCAATAAGTGATGACTCAATCCGTGCATCTTTGAGGGCACACTTTTGGGGCACTAGCTTTCCAGACTAGTAGGCGGCTACGTAACAGGTCCCTTGCGAAGACTCTGCATGACGAAATTCATGAAGGGGTCATGTTTATAATTCTCAGAATTCTGGTTGGAGCTATAGTCTAAACTACTAGTATCCCCGCTAAGAACCCCTATAATACTCCCCTGAATAGGTCCCCTATACGCCCCCCTTTAAGGAGTTTGGACTATAGCTCATATGAACCTCGGCTCTTCAAGGCTGGCCCTGAGCTTACAGATCTTCTTCTGGCACATTCAAGCATAACTTGAAGGGGCCTAAAGAGAGGGAACCGAATATGAACCCAAAAAAGGGCTTTTAGAGAGTCCTCGAATTCATAATATGAAGGCCCCATCCCCATGCTCATATGCTCAGCCCAGGTCCCAAACTGCCAGCTCACGACCTTCCCGAAGTCCCGACCTGAGAATACATGAGAAAACACCTCATATCGCTAGGCAGGGGTGACAACTGATCCTCGTTGCTACAAACAGAGACCATAAACCAGAAGCTTGACGGCTCCATCAGTAGAGGCCCTTCTCTGGGGCCACCTATCCCAGCCAGTGGGGAAAGGAATTCAAGCCCTATGATGGGCTTATCCGACCGCTCTGGATGGGCTCTCTCCAGCAGCAACGGCCCCGGTAAGTTGAGAATGTGGCCAGGCTTGCCTGCAGCAGAAGGGCAGCGAAACCTGAGCCCGGAAAATCACAGGATCCCGATCATACAGTGAAGTGCTTACGCACAAGGGACCAAAACAGGAGTTTGCCTGTCGATTCTGAGAAAACTGATCTGCCAAGTGACAAGCAAAGGGTTGCAGAGAGGAATACTGAGCCCACTACTTCCGCTGACTACAACGATGACCCGCAGGAGCATTCTAAGACTTGAAGATTAGCTGAAAAAAGGCATTCTGACCTTCTGCTGCAAGTGACGCCTGGGTGAAAAACCTCCAGTGTGCATTCATCCCTCGAGGATCCTTCTGTTTTCTCACATTGAGGTAGTTACTTGCTCTAGTCATATTCAAATCTGGACCCATGGTGTTGTGAGCAGCCTCAACTAGGTCAAGAATTTAAGGGCTGGACAACTGGAAGGGCCAACAGAGTCCACATCTCGGCCTGCATTGCAGATGCGACCCTTTAGCCAACAAAATCCTTGAAACCACCAAATGTCG